TGTGTATATATACACATGTATGTATATGTACGTATATGTGTGTGTATATATACATATGTGTATATATGTATATGTGTGTGCATATATACATATATATGTATATGTATATATATTTTTTTTTTTTCTTTTTTCTGACGTGGCCTTTGGGAATTAGTTTTCATTGAGGAGCGTATCTACTACACTTATTTTCCACTACAGGGACTAAGTGAGAGAAGTAAAATAACATTGTATTAATTTTGAAAATAAAGTTAAAAAGCCATTTTTCATCAGAAAACAAGAAATTCAAGTCTAAGTAGGCCACGGGACTGGCCCACTGGGGCAACATTGCATGACAATTTGCTTGATATTCATCAAGCGTATACAAACAGTAATTAAAACTTTTAAAAAAAGAGACAAAGGCCATATGATGATTGTGTTGTATTATTTGCAATAAAAAAAGGAGTGATAGAATATGTAGGAAATCTGAATTATCAAATACTTAACGTGATTCTTCTTATTTTTTCTCATTGAAATGGAATAGTACAACTGGCCATCATAACAAGATGCTCATTTTTAGAATTTCATCACTTTATTAGCACAGTCCAGAATACTCAAATTGTGTACTTAACATTCGTTGTGCATGTGAGAGGCCATGCAAAAAGAAGAAGGAAAGAAAAAAACACAAAAATGAGTAGAATGGTAAATATTCTGGTTCGAGAAGGAATATGCTAACTTCCATTTCTCTCTATTATTTTCTGTGAGGATGCCTGCCTTGTTAAATCATTTGCAGGAATTGATTTTCAATAGAGATTTAGGATGCATCTTTAATGTTCATCTGCATTAAGTGTATGACAGAGAATGGGGGAGGGGTGGAGCTGCAGCAACTACAGTGGAAAAATGCAGGTAAAAATATGACTGATAAATTTGGGAGAAACCAAGCTCATAGATCATCTGGAGGCCTAAATATTGGGACTGCTGCTAAAGCAAGTCATGCAAATTAAAAATATAATTCTTAGTTGGCTTCTGTTTTCTGAGTTCATTATAATAACTACCATTGCTCCCTTCTCGGGTTACATTTTTTCCCCCAGAATACATTTATATGACACTAAGGTGCAGTCTAATTATACAGAAAAGGAAACAGGAACAAAAAAGATATAGGCCTCCTCTGAAGGAGAGGTAACATTATGTAATTCAGAGAGCACGGGACTGGAAGTCAGAAGATCTGGTCTGGTCAAGAGTCTTGGCTCTGTAGTTCATTCATTCACTGTTTGACCTGAGGTAAGTCTTTTAACCTCTCTAGGACCCAGTTTTCTTACCTATGAAATGAGTAGAGGGCCATTTCTTCCATCAACCAATCTGAGTTGTTGGAAAGGTTCAATGAGATATGACTGTTCAGGAACATTGGTTAATTTCCTTGGAAGGTTCATTGTTTGCCTTTTTTAAACTTCAGGGTTGAAGAGTGAATATTTCCAACCTAGTCATTTCTTAGAATAATATAAATTTAAAATAACCTGAAGGTCAGGGAGAAGAAGACACTGTGAAAATCCTAAACATGGTCTCCAGACATACAGTTTCTGCTGACGATTTCCTTTTGGACCATGATGAGAACCCATCTACCAGTCATACCATTTCAATGTAAACATAGAGTGGGCAAAAATGATTTTTGCTTTTGTCTTCAAGTCCTAGGTCTCTGGTAGAGAATCGAGGTCCCTCTACCCTTTTTTGCACTTGACTTATGATTATTATTAGAGGGATAAATTCCCTTCATCAATGCAGATCAGCAACTTATAATAATAGTCTTAGAGGGCACCTGGGCCAATGATGAGGGAAGTGACTTTCCCAGGATGAGACAGCTCAGAAGTGGCAGAGGTGGGGCTCTTCTTAACTATCAGGATGTCTCTTTATTGCGTGCATGTGTGCATGTGCATGTGTGTATATGTACGTATATGTATGTGAGCACATATGTGTATATGTATACTTATGTGTACACATGCATATATACACTATACACATATGCATATATACATACAAATAAAATATGTACACATGTATAGTGTATGTATATGTGTGTACACACACATATATATGCATAGGTACTGTGGGGGGGAGCTTCCTGCTACATAACAGGTACTTTAGATAAAAATGGACTTAACTGATTCCAATGGCTAAACAATTCACTGGAAATACCATTGTCCCTTAAGTAGGTGCAATGTTTTTGGAGATGCACAATGAGTAGGTTCCAAAAATCAATATTCCATTGCTTGGGCTCTCAACCAGACCCATACAATCTCAGGACTGGTCATAATGGCCCACTAACTTATTTAGTTTCTATGAGTATGACTAAGAGAAGGACTGTCACTTCATGTGCAATAGCAGGGGTAAGATTGGAGAGTTATAATGGGTGCTTATTGGACACCTAGACTTTTTCATCCCAAGGTATCTGGAATGCTTCAAGTCCCATGCAATGTCACTGAGGGGCCTTGGTTCTGGCCTCCATTATTTCCAGTTAGCATGAGCCCTGGAGGATGCTATCATTAGTCATCTGATTAAATATTAGACCACCATTCTCCTGTCAGTAGCAACTGTATATGGAAATTGGGAAATTTATAAAAGTTGAAGCAGACACCAAATAAATTAGCTACATGAAATGTTCTGATAGAAAATATTAACTTCAAATCTTTGGATTCCCTGATACTGCCAGGAAAAGGAAGAAAGAAAGCCACAAACAGCCTGTGCATCTTTTAGCAAATAAATGTTGGGTAAATCTTGCATTGTTCAAGGACAAAGCTGAGATTAATTGACAAGTGATTTCATTAGGCTCATTTTAATAAGAATGTCCCAGGTACAAACTTCATTGGCTACCGGAACCCTTGGAAAGGTAATTCCAGTCTCTGTCTCTCTCTGTCTCTCTCTGTCTCTCTCTGTCTCTCTCTCTCTCTCTCTCTCTCTCTCTCTCTCTCTCTCTGTCTCTCTGCATTTTCTTTAAGTCAAAGGCCACCTTGCAAGGGGTAGATGGTTACCTGGCAAACCATAAACTATTATGGGCAAAGGTTCTCTCAATTATGAAGTTACTGGCTCTCTTGAGAATGAATGAAGCACATAATCTGTACTGATTTCTCTGTGGAGATGGCATGATGCAGCATACCATTGATTAGTTCGGAAGCAAAAGGGCTAGGATTCAGATCCTAACCCAGATACTCTCCCCTTGTGTGACATTAGAGAAGTTAATACACCTCTCTGGGCTTCCGCTTCATCTCATGAAAATTGAAAAGGTTGTCCCAGATGACCTGGGAGACACATCTAAAATTATGAGCTTGTCATGACATGGTTATTTCCAAGTCTCTGAGGGTAGGGGTAGTTTTGTCTTATATCCCTGTGCCTAGCACATAGTACGCATTTCAAAGCACCATAGACCTAGAGCTTGGATTGGGAACTTGCAGCCTCAAGGCCACATGTGGCCCTCTAGGTCCTCAAGTGTGGCCCCTTCACTGAATCCAAACTTCACAGATCTGTGGCCTTGAGGCTGTGGGTTCCGTACCCCTAACTCAAAGCTTGCATAGACTTCATAGACCATCTAGCCCACCCCTCTCATTTGACAGAGGAGGAAACTGAGGTCTGGAGAGTTTGTCATTTATTCAAGGTCATGAAGAAAATAGACATCAATGGTGGCAATTAAAGCCAAGTCCTCTGTCTCAGTCAGGTTTTCTCTTACTGTGCCATTCCGCCTTCTCTAAATGCTGCTTGTATGAATAAAGGAATTCTGAACTGTATCATAGGAAATGATTTCATTTTGCTTCCAAAGGAGGGCAATACTCACCTCCTTCAGCCCTCATCACCACACTCAACCTGACCTCCCTCAAAATAAAGAGTTTTGTGGATGGAAGATGTTTAATATTTCAGATCAATAATAGGGGCTTCATCTAATTAAAGAAATTGAACTCAGGATTAAGGGATAATAAGAATCTTTGTGAGTCTCCTTCATATTATTCAGCTGACTCTTACTCTTTTTCTTCATTCAGCAGGAAGCTTTGTCATGGGGAATTTGCCATACATAACTGCTTGGAAAATGGACCAGCTATGTCTTTATGGATAGGTTGTTGGAAGAAAAACTAAGGTGGTGATCCATTCTGTGCTGAGCCAACACTCATCTGTGTTTTTGAAATATGTTTTTGTTTTGAAAGAAACTTTGAGTGCCTCCCCACTGTTCTATGTCAATTTTCATAGGATTATAATTCCACCTATCTCTCAGGATTGTTCTGAGTGTCAAATGGGATTATGTTGTTTGTTTTGTTTTGTTTTACAAAAAGCTTTTCAAAAAATGTTTTCCTACTTCATAGTATTTTTTCCAATTAAATGTAAAGATAGTTTTTAACATTCACTTTTATAAGATTTTGAATTCCAATTTTTTCCCTTCCCCTCCCTCTTCTCTCCTGCCCAAGATAGCAAGCAATCTGATATAGGCTCTACATATGCAATAATATTAAATATATTTTCACATTAGTCATGTTGTAAAAAAAAGAATCAGAACCAAAGGGAAAAACAAACGGGATTATATTTTAAAATGCTTAGCACAGTGCTTGGCACTAAGCAGGTGCTTAATAAATATTTCTCCCCTTCTTCCCCTTTCCTTCTAATTGGAAGGGACCTAGAATTCGCTCAGTATGATTCCTCATCTTACAGTACATACAATGGAGGCCCTAAAGCTCAAATGACGTTCCTGAGATCACACAGCTGGTGGGGGCCTAATGTGGGATTCTTCCCCAGGTCTTCCTGACTCCAAGTCCAGCTCTCTAGTCATTATACCACACTGCCTCTCCAGTGATCAGTCTCCTGTCCAAGGCTCTCCCTTTCAGGTACCTCATCCAAACCAGTGACAGCAGCGTTCAGTACCGGGAAGCACGGCTTCTGCTTACTCCGCTGACCCGCTTGTTACCAGGGCAAGTAAGGCGGGACGCTACAGCTGAGGCGCGGAGCAGCCAAGAAGACGCGCAATCCCAAAGGAAATGAAGACAACACCCTACCTTTTCAAAAACTCCATATACTCTGTGTGCTTGATGAGGCCCGTCCTCATCATTATCGTCTGAAAACATTGTCGATCAATGGCCCAGAGTTTCACATTTACAAGAGCTGGAAAAAACACAAAACAAAACAGGGAAGATTCAATTAGCAAATTTCCTCAACGAACTACCTCTGGCAACCAAGATTAGTTACAAGAGAGTAGGCACGTGATTGGCCTTCCCTACACATTTTGAAGCATGCATCAGAATGCTCTGCTCCTTCCTGAAAATCCACGGTGTATTACAAGTGAGAAACTGTTTTTAATTGAATGTACCGACATCATTGCCCACGATGGGGAGGGGTCTACAGTGACGGAGCTCATATGGGGCAGGGGCTTAGTGCAATATAATGTATTTCCAAAAAGTGATATGAAAGAAATCACAGAGTGAGAGGGTCAGAGGTTCTAAGGAATATCCCATAGAACAGTAACTATACTGAAGGTTATTAAATCATTCAGCATGGAGGATTTTCAACTGGAAAAGGTAGGGAACTTATTTTGAGGTATAGGGGATAACTCAACATTCATATTATGGAAATAATGATTAAGCAGCCTCTTCTTCAAAAAGCTCGATTTTTGTCTTTTTTTTTTAAATAAACTACAATCTGTGCCCAAAGCTATCTTCTTACGTCATTTATAGGAGATACTCAGAGACTTTAGCACTCCAGTGGCTAAGTGGTCTTAAAAGTGTGCCCATTCTTTCCAGTGATAACAATAGCAATCTGTCCTTGCTTGAGCACCCTAGGTGACCCTTGTCTATGCCTTTTCATAAACACTGCCACAATGGACCTATGAGTGTGCTTGGGAGGGATAGTTCTCTTTATATCTGAAGGATGTTGGCGAAACACGTGAACAACCATAAGTTATCCTTTGCTCTCCCCATATGACAAGGTTACCCTCTTTTAATGCTCATAAATTTATTTTATAAATCTCTTTTATTATCATAGTTTATATATGAGGAAATTGAGGCTAAGCCGTGAATAACTTACCTATCATCTAACCCAAATTTTGCATTGGGATAACAGGAGAACATTTTGCTGTCTTTCTTCTGTTAAAGAATATTACTAACTTCGGAGTATAAACAAAGCATGCGTGAAGAGATATAGGAAGCCAGGAAGACAGATAGCCCATTTCTCAGCTCATGTCACTGTGGCAGATATATCCAAACAAATCTCCCTGCCAACAATCCTGTATACAAACTACTCCACTAGATTAAAGTAGGCAGTTTACCTAGAGAAGTAGGGTAGGAGCCAGGAGAAAGACTTAGTAGGCAGGACAGGAGAAGGGCCCAGGAGCTAGTTCTCAATTCACAGCTTTTAGGCTGGGTCTTAACTAAAGGCTATGGTGGGGGGTTGGGCAGGAAATGAGAGGAGACAGGTCAGTTTTCAGGCACAGTATCTCTTTAAATGGCGGTGTCCCCTGATTTGAGTTTAAGATTGCTTAGTACTTATGGGACTGGAAGATGACTTATCTCTGGTCATCTCTTTACCAGAGGAAAATGATCCTTAGGGACAAGTTTGGACAAAATTCAAGGCATATACATATATATATATATATACACTTACATATGCATATACACATACACATATATACGCCTATATGTCTGTATATATGGATTATGTATATATCTACATGTGTATATATAAATTTTAATATGTGCCAGGCATATACTAACCACTTCATAAATACTTTGTTTTATTCCCCCAACAACCCTAGGAGGTAGACCATATTATCATTTCCATTTTGCAGATAATGGAACTGAGGCAGACAGAGGTCAAGTGGCTTTCCTAGAGTTGCATAATTGGTAAGCATCTGAGGCCAGATTCGAATTTCAGTCTTTCTGACTCTCTATCCACTGTTCCACTTAGTTGCCTCTATTTTGTGACCTTTGAAATCTTTGAGACACCCTGTATAATCTCTTTTGCTTCCCTAGAGCAATTCTTGGAATGCCTCTTTACAAAATATAAGAAAGAAAAATTAAGTGACCTTTGACATAGGGATCATAGAATTTGAGATGCATTTGGAAGGGACCTTGGAATGACCTATTGGACACTGAGTTCACAACTTTGTACATGAGGAAACCAAGGCTCATTGTGACTATCTGAAGTGACTAGGGCAGGTACCATATGAGTATGTACTCCTCCCCCACCCCCATCATGTCTAGAAACGTGCCTTTCATTTTGGTCCAGAGCCATGATTCCCTTAGTGAGGGGAACTTCCATTACTCATCATCTTCTGCTAGCACAGATTAGCACTTCATTTGTAACCTGGAAGCTTAGACCTGGGACCCTAAGTATCAATAGCCCAGGGCCATAGAGTCAGTATATATGAGAATCCAGGATTGAGCCTGTGTCTTCCATACTCTAAGGCTGACACCCCAGCCATCATGCCAGACTCCTTCTGAATGTTTCACACATAGTAGGCATTTAACAATGGTTGTTGACTTTTTTCAATAACTGATTACGAGGATGATTTGACAAAATCCTTAGGGCAGGCTTAGCGGACTCTTCCATATCATATTAAGATGATGAGACAGAACTTATCTGCCTTCATAATTCATGTCACGCCCCAGTGCCTCCCTGTGAAAAATGCATCCTGCTCTACAATATCATTAGCTTCCCTTTCAATGTGCCATTGAAATGACTCTAAATTTGTCTCTTCTTCATTGGACAGAGAGATTGTCAGATGATGACTCCAGCTTAATGGTCGTGTAAATGTCCTGATGACCTTGGGCAGGATGCCCAAACTTTGCTTTGGGTTTGGCAAAAGGGGCCATGACTCAAGTCACTATAGGATAGTCACGCATAACTAACATTCGCCTTGTCCCATGGTCAAATGATAGCTTTGTTGGCTGTGACTAAAGGATTTGTTTCTGCGTACCATTGCTAAAAGTCAAGAGGGCTATTATCTTCCTAACTGGAAAGAGGAAAACACTTTAAATGAGCTTCATGTTGATCCTTGATAACAAGGGGCTGGTTCATCTCAGTGGGGTAGGATGGGCTGGTAGAAGTAGCTACTTCAGAAATAAAATCCCTGAGACTGTATTAAAAATAATAAAAATTACCACCATAGCCTAACATTTAGGTTGGTAGATCACTGCTTTCTTTGGCAGTCCATTTCCTTTTCGTTAAATTATGTACCTCAAAATCTATGTCATTTTCTCAGGATCAGATCATATTCTATTCTTTTTTTTTTCTTTTGTGAAAACACGTAGATGTGATCAGTGCTTTGACATCTCTAGAACACTGTGCCCCTTAAGAAGAACCCCCCAGCCAAAGAAATTAGCAAGATCTCATTTACAGCATGAATAAGATCTGACAGAAGAAACAAAAGCTGAATAAGGAGGAGAAAAAGAAAGAGGGCAGACCTGGATTCTGGCCTTAAGCTTCCCACTGGGCAAATTCATCTGCCTTCTCTGGCTCCAGCTTCTGAGAAATATAAAGTGGGCAGCAGTATGGTGAATATGAGAAGTGCAAACCTCATTGACTTCAAATAAAAGGACAGTGAGACCTGGAGAGGCTAGGTCACAAGTCTTAGAAGCATAAAGTAGAGAATGTTTCCAAAGTAATGTCGTTTTATTCCATTCAAGTATCATGAATATATTATGTTCTGCGCATAGGATGTTAAAAGCCAGGAGGACCAGTGGGGGTCCAGCCAGGAGCAAATAGAACTCCCTCCCAAGCCCCTCAGGGCACACTCTCTCTTCAGGAAGAACCACGTGGTTCTTATGCCATCACAGATTCTGAAGTACTGAGTCCCAAATGGTGGCATAGGCAAAAGATTTGCAATATGTGTTCAATACTACATTTATTTTCCATAATTACAAAAACATATTAAAGGTACTTTAATCCCTTTGGGAGAAAAACTGTCACTCATCACGGTATCAATAACTTTTGTTCAGAGTATGAAAATCCCAAATGCTCCCAAATGCATTCTCAGAACTTAGTGCATACTTCGAAGAACTTGGAATGAGGGTGAGGCCCTTAGAAGGCCTTTCCAAAGTTTTTGCTGTGCCAGCACAGCCTTTAAGAACCCGGCTCCCTTCCAGAAGGTAGGGAGGCATGAGAGGGGAATCCACATTCAAAACGAAATTTTAAAAATCATATTCTTGATTAATTTCAGCAGAAAAAGACAACTTGACATTATGGTAATATGGTAGCTAATTGGAATCCCCATTCTTCAAGATATATATTATATCCATGATCTTTGTTTGACATTTATCCAACAAATGTCACTGAATATGATACACAGCTCCCAAAGTTAGGAATTTTCTAGTACTTACTGTATGGTCAGTATATTCCATAGTCTATTTCTAGTGAAATTATTTAGGACTACAGGTCATGAAGGATGGGGCGTAACAGAATGGCCTGAGATATGATTCACTGAAGGAACTCCCAAACTGATGAAATCAAAGGTCCCTTTGAATGTTTTTGACTTTCATAATTAATTGTTCAATTTCTAGCCTTCTAGTTGTTGTAGTCTCTGAGTTCAGACCCCTGTTTCTCATTCGTACTCTAAAGGCTGCAGTAACTACACATGCACACACACATTTGTATATCTCTATATGTATGTATGTGCATGTTATAGATATGTTGTAATATGAAATACCCCTCATTTTCCAGTTCCTTTTATGTATTAACTTCCTCCATTAGTGAGTATGTTTACATTGACGACGTAGATGGTATTTCCGTTTGTATTTGTATTTTCAGTGCTAAGCACAGTGCTTGGCACATATTCAGCACTTTACTTTAAACATATCTACACATATATGCACATTAATGTACACTCAGGCTTATTCAAACACGTGGGAGCTCAGACTTCTGTTTTGGAGAAAGCACGTTTTCTTACCTTGTCAGAAGATGCATGTGAGCGGACTGGTATTTGTGGAAATGTTAAAAAGGCATGATGAAAACTAAGGGAAATTGTGAAGCTGCTGGCCAGGGAGTCTCCCTGGAGAACTTTATGTGGGAGTGATGATTTCTCAGGACCTTTCCAACAGGGACCAAAATGGACTTTATTTGCTGAGATGACTAAATCAAAACACATTTTATGGACTTGTAAAAAATAAATC